GCCGCCGCCGCCGCCCCAAACACCGCAAAAGGATACTCAAAGTCAGCATCTTGGACTGGTAGTCGAAAGCCAAGACCTCTCCTTGCAGGCGCTGTCCCAAGCAGGTGAGGCAAGCGACCTGACTGCCGACGCTGAAGTACTCCCCCGGTCCTGGAGCCGCCATCTTCTCCGCCAGGAAACCGGAGCGCCAGCCTTACGTAAGCCTACGTAATGGCGTCACCGTATTCGACTGGGACGTGAGAGGCGCGTTCTGACGTAATCGTGTGTTCTTTTTCAAATTCTGGCAGAGACTTCTGAAAATAACCGCTTAATTCTCATATTATTCACGTCTTGTTTTTGTGATTCTGAAAGAACATTTCTGTACTGTGAGTATGTTTATATTGAGCCCCATTGTTTCAAACGAATCTTTAATAAAGGAATAGAAACCTCCTTGGACTAATACTAATACTAGCTTGATAAAGTACATAATCGTATATATAGTATACATTACATTCATTTTTATTCTGTATTAGGCGGATAATACTTGGTAAACGTGATAGTAAAAGCATGAAGTTTCGTCACCTTATCGGGACGCGGGAGTTCATAAATTGATTTCTGAAACTCGTTTATATAATATCTAAGCAATCTCAAGACGTCGTTTGGGAGAACATTCTACGTTAAGAGCCCTATATGTGTTCACAGCTTGTAGGTATAGTGTTATGCGTAGAAATGATCATCCGGAGGCGTATAGACGTTTAACTGGCTTTAATAAAGTTAATGCATCATCTAGGTGGATGCTGTACATTGGTGGTGGTGGAGGGGATCCCCATTGCCTGTAAAGCGCTTTGAGTGGAGTGTCCAGAAAAGCGCTATATAAGTGTAAGCAATTATTAATTATCATTATTATTAATGTATGACACACTCTCCAACTTTCTCTCCTGACCTCCGACCCCAGAAACTCTCTCCTGACCTCTGACCCCAGAACCCAGTCGTATATAGCATCCCTGCGCACTGTGTTCTAGTAGTGCCATCACAACACAGTAGGCATTCAAATCCGCTTTGCATCCCATGAGAATATAACCGCCGTTGTATAGGACCCCCAAAACATAAGGGGTTGTAGCAGACAGTTCGATAAAGTTCCTAGTTTAAAAAAAAAAACTGGGGCAAACTAATTTTAAAAGTCATCTGTATAGGGTCACTGCATAACTAGTTACGAGATAATAGCCAAAGTATTAACATATACAATGTTATACTTGGTATGAAGTAATACTTTACCTCTTCAACGTTTGCCGACTTCTTTTCGATTTACAAAAGCAGTCCCTTACACATGTAACCTGTTACTGTAATGGGCTACGTTGTTGTTGTTGTTGTTGTTTTGTTTTTTTTTTAAGTTACTTTCTCCCCCAACAAAGGCGGTGCGTGCCAGACCATCTCTCTGAAGAGGTCACCAAATAACAAACGAGTCCGGGACTGAAGTTTGTCCCTTTCCTCTCCCGGTTGTCGGCAGTCAGGAAATGATCGAGCCCGATGATGCTGTCAAAAAAAATTAAGCACCAGGAGCCAGCCCAGAGCTAATGACCGCGCCAAGTTTTCCGCCTGTAGCAGCATCTCTCGGATACCTGCGTCTGCGCTTCATCCCGGCATCACTGGCCCATTAAGTATTTAAAATTAAATAATATCCAGTGCAGCGGTCCTTCTAGTTGTTGCACTTAAGGTCACTACAGTCAGTGCATATAACCCGTAGTCATTATCTGCCGTTCTTTTAACTTTGAAACGTTTGTAACTCCTGTAAGTTGTGGCGACTGTCCGTCCTCGTCGAACCAGCTCGTCTGAAGATGGATGCGATTCACGCCCAGGGCGTCCGGATCGCCGAGGCGCTTCAGAACCGGCTGATGGACCATGAGAAACTCTGGCTGTCCATCACTCACCTGGGCAGCCCCAAAGCCGCCTTCCTGCTCTGTTTCCCCGCCACCGTCTACCTCAGCCGGAGGACCGGAGTGGCCGTCATCTGGGCCGCTATCATTTCGGAGTGGCTGAATCTCATTTTCAAGTGGTAAGCGAGAAACTGGTTACATGAACAGTCCGGGTTTTGGGGACAGACCTTAGGAGCTTCCCGCATGCGTTTACCGCAGGACATCTGTAAATAAGCTGCTAATGTATAGGAAAAGCGTCAGTAACTGGTATTATTGTGCACGACATTCTCCGCTTTGTGTCTGTCACGGGTTTTGGACGATGACGCCAAACTACCTTTGCTGTTGCTGCGAAAGGGAAGTTTGTTGCGGACTCTGGGACCTCAGACCAGCTCAGCGTGTTGCTGCTACTAGCTGACGTCCGTCCCCTCAGTGGCAAGAGATAGTGTTGCAACTCTGGTGGCGCTCAGGTGGTGCAATCGCTACCTCTCAGCCAGTTTCCGTACGCCACAAGCGCCTCAGCTAAAAACTATTTTGTGTGCTGTCCAGTTTCGTGCACTGGCCTCTGCTTTAAATGACCGCATTTTGCAGAAGTGTTTCTATAAACCCTAGATTCCAAGGCATCTGAAAATCCCAGTTTTTTCCTTGCTTCTTATATACCCCTTTCGCATGCTTCCGAGTGCTACCCTGCATTTGGTGCTTAAATTAACCCTGTAATTGCTCCAGCAGATTGGTGGAATGCGTGTGATCCCTGCGCGCCAGTACTTAAAACAGCGGTCAACATGCCTGTTCTGAAGACGGCAGAGCGGGCTGACGTCACTTCTGCAGCTGGGGAGCCCCGCGCTGAACCCCGTTAAACATGCAGTTTTCTATGTACTCGCTGGCCAAGATGTTAGTGCTGCCCCCCCCCAAGTCAAAATAAATAGAATCTGAGGTCAAAGACATCATGGCTTTCCTTGGCCAGAACAAACCTCAGCTCGGACCTCAATCCTGTTGAAACCCAGAGGGCCACACGGTTTAGTCCCACACACTGTTACCACAACTTCAATTGCAGGCTATCCTTTCTAAAGGTATGGGTTGGGACTGGGCAGCAGATATTACAAACAGTATTTATACAGGCCATGTGCTGTTCAAGCTGTTCCTGTGCTCGCTGAGGCCTTAACATAATATTTAATGGAGTTTCTTAATATTTAGGCTGATATGCATACATCATACACAGTAGCAGGCATGTGCATCGTAAATGAGTGCAATTAAGGGATTACTGTGTAGAAACAGGAGAGGCATCATTGATTAGGACAGAGAGTTGACCACACAGCAAGGAAGGGTTGAACAGCACTGTGCATCTGATGTGCTACTGCTTTTCTGGAAGACATGCACTCACATTTTTATTTCTATTTAGCTGTCCCAGCTGGGACAAGCATGGAAAAAAAAACCCATGGAAAAAAAGATTCAGATCTAAACCTTTGCCCATCTTCTGTATAAATCTACATGTTAAGAAATGCTGATTCGCCAGTCCCCATGAATCCTTCTGGCTCTACTTATTTATTATACCCAATACTACCCACTGGAGCTCAGCAGGGTTGAGCCTGGTCAGCACCTGGATGGGAGACTCCTGGGAAGCTATGGTTGCTGCTGGAAGAGGTGTTAGTGGGACCAGCAGGGGGCGCTCACCCTGCGGTCTGTGTGGGTCCTAATGCCCCAGTATAGTGGTGGGGACACTATACTGTAGTGGGTGCCGTCTTTCGGATGAGATGTTAAACCGAGGTCCTGACTCTCAGTGGTCATTAAAGATCCCCGGACATTTCTCGAGAAGAGTAGGGAGTTATCCCAGTGTCCGGGCTGAATTTCCCCCCTCAGCCTTTACCATGGCCTCCAAATTGTCCCCCTGTATGATGGGCTTGCACTGGCCCTGCGATGGACTGGCGTCCTGTCCAGGGTGTACCCTGCCTTGCGCTCGTTGCTTGCCGGGTAGGCTCCGGCTTCCCGCGACACCGTAGGGTAAAAAGCAGTTTGGCAAATGACATGACGTGACAATGGGGCATGACCTTGTTTCAGAAGCGAGGTCAGGGTGCAGGTGAGTGCTGTACTGGGTGGTACGGAATTGATGGACTGGGATGCACTGTTCTCTGTCCCCAGGGTGCTGTTCGGCGAGAGGCCCTTCTGGTGGATAGGAGAATCCCAGCTGTTTCGCACAAACCAGCCGCAGGTCAGGCAGTTCCCCTCCACGTGCGAGACAGGACCAGGTGAGTGGAGGGCAGTTCGCTGCCTCCTTTTTCAATGAAAACGCGAGTACGTCAGGAATCCTAACTCAGGACTGACGGCTGACAGCTGCTGTTCACCCAGACCCAGTGCATCCACATAGCTCAGGGAGAAGAAGACTGCTCAAAAACAACCATTACAGCTACTGATGAAGGCAAATATCCAGATAATCAGAGGTATAATACTTCACTACAGTTACTACTTCAAGATCACAACAACTCCCAGTCCTACTGGGAGAGGGAGGAGGGAACTAGCCGGCCAGTATGTGACCTCCAGTAACAGCATGTGGAACAGTGAGCTTGTCTCTCAATAATGTTCATATATTTATATGTCAATACCTTATGATGTGTCTCTACTGTAAACGTCTGTAGGTTTTGTATGTTAATTGTATTTGTTTAACTTTGGCAACACTGATTTACTAATTGGTCATACCAATAAAGCATCGTGAATTGACAGAAAAAATTGTTTGGTGCACCTATAGCTGCATTCATTATTCACACATGGATGCTCTGGCTGATCAGGGGGAGTTGGGGCCGTGTGGTTGCTGTTGTAATCGGTACCACAGTGGGCAGGGGTATAGAACAGGCCGTACGGGGGCCCAGTCAGAGTCTAGTAGGTTTTATGTGGGCTCTGTGGGTACCGGGATGCCCCTCAGGGCTGACTCGTCAGGACTCTCTCTCCCCCCCCATCTCCAGGCAGCCCCTCCGGCCACGCCATGGTGACGGCGGCCGTGTGGTGGGTGATGGCGTCCGACCTGTCCGCCTTCCTCTACGCCCGCACCCGCAGGTCAGTCAGAGGTCAGGCCCGGGGAGGGGAGGGGAGGGGAGCTGATCGCTGTGGGCTCTGTTGGAGAAAAGCTCACACTTTTCCTCCTCCTTGCTCTTCACTGCTCTGGCCCATCTTTGGAATGGCAGAGACTGTTTCATGCCTCCCTTTTGAGCACGTTTTTCTCTTTATCGTTGTGTCGCAAAGTAAGAAAATCGCGGCACGGAGGGGCAGTGGTTAGCATCCTGCCTCGCAGCTCTGGAGCCCTGGGTTCGATTCCTGGGGTGCCATCTCTGTGGAGTTTGCATGGGTTTCCTCCCACAGTCCAATGACATACTGGTAGGTTAATTGGCTTCTGGGAAGATTTCCCTGGTGGGGCTGCATGTTTGCGTCTGTGCGTGTGCCCTGTGAAGGAGTGGAGTCCTGTGCAGGGTGTCCGCCTTGCACATATTGCTTGCTGGGAAAGGCTCCGGCACCCCTGGGACCATGCGTTGGGGTTAGAAAACGGACGGATGGATTTTACATTTTCAAATGTAATACCCGTCAAACATGTGGCGTGCATCTCCCATGTGTGTCTGTGAGCAAGGACACGTGTCTTTTTCCTCCCTGTCCAACTCCCTGCAAATGTGCAGAAGGTTCTGACAGCCAGGCATTGATCCTGCCCTTTCCTTCTAGCCTGGGTGACAGTGAGAAGAAGAATTACTCTTCAGGAGTCCTATACTATAAAAAACAGGGTAACATTGTTTTAACTGAGCATTTGGAAGCAGCGTGCACGCTGATGTTGGTGAAGGGTGGGCTGATGTCGTTTCTCCTCACTGTCTCGTGCAGCGTAGTGCTGATGGCTGTGCCGTTTCTCCTCTACCTGGGCTTCCTGCTGGCAGTGGGCATCTCCAGGATCTTCATCCTGGCACACTTCCCTCACCAAGTAGTTGCGGGATCTGTCACAGGTCAGTGTGCACTGAAGCTGCAGACGACCACAGGCATAGCTCTGCAAGACTGCGATCACACCAGCAGTGTGTGGATTTGCCTCCAGTCCACTCTTCTGCCCCTCCTTTCCAGAGTTCGCCTACATATAAACCCGACTGTGCAAGAGAATAAGACATCTTCAACCCATGCAGGAGTTACTGTATACGTGTGTTACGAGCATCAAAAACTTTACTCAAGCCCTCCACATTTTCTCCTGTCATAACAACTGTGATTAATGCATCTGAGTTTGGTAAGAAGAAACGACAAATTGCAGATCTGTCAGCATCAGCTGCCAGTTTGAAACAATGGAGAGAATTGCAGTAGAAGGTCATCAGAGATTTGTTTGTAAAAAATTAAACAGATTGTTCAAGTTAGAACAGGGCATAATGCTTTAAGAGGTCTGCATAGCAGTCAAAGCTATTCAATTGAAAATTGGTGTTTTTCCGTAATGAATTCTCTGTATGATCGAGGAGCAGCTACAAGCTTTGAGTTGAGGCAGTCACTGGGGGGCTGTCAGGGAGTGGAGAACAGCATGGGCGGGATGAGTCTGAGGCGAAGGTGGTCTGTATACAGGCGGAGAAACCCCTCTTCCCTGTGTTCCAGGATTCGTGCTGGGGTACGCCCTGAGCCGGGTGGTCCCTGACCCGCGACCGCTCAGATTCTTCGTGTTCCTCTCCGGGGGGCTGCTGCTGGGCACCCTGCTGATGCACTGGGGTCTCGAGCGCTGGGGGGTGGACCTGTCCTGGTGAGTCTCTTCATGCACACTTGAGCACCCCCAAAACACTGGAGCTCCCCTCACATCCCACAGCACTCTAGTCCCAGTGGATTGATATTCACGTCTTCTGCTTGACTCTGTGCATTAGGCTGTGCTGGGCCATGGTTTTCTTGCTTGTCTTGTAGCAGTTGTATTACCAAAAGTTGGATCATGAAAGTAGTCAGCCTAGGGAGTAACTTCCAAGGGAAGGCCTTATTGCAAACTGGATTCCAGCATCTTGAAGTCAAGGCCTGTTCTGTTTTTAATGGCAGGGTTTTGTCGGGCGCCACAGTGGCCCAGTGGTTGGTGTTGCTGCCTCACAGCTCCGGGTGCTATCTGTGGGGAGTTTGCATGTTCTCCCTGATTCCGTGCGGTTTCCTCTCACAGTCCGAAGACATACTGGCAGCTGAATGGGCTGAGAAAACCGACCCCAGTGAGAGTGTGTGTAGGTCTGTGTGTCTTCCCCGTGATGGACTGGCATCCCCTCTCGGGCGTATCCTGCTTTGCGCCCATTGCCTGCTGGGATAGGCTCCGGCGACCCTGAATTGGATGAAGTCGTGAGAGGATGGAGGGATGGAAGGCAGCGCTGTGTGGTTGGAGAGGAGGTGGTCTTGGCCTGTGGGTTTCTGGGTCTGGGTGTCACACGCGGTCTGTTCTGTCTGTCTGCTGTGTGCAGGTCCATTGCGTTGGCAGAGAGGTGGTGCGCGCGGGCAGACTGGATTCACCTGGACACGGCGCCCTTCTCCTCCCTGATGCGGGACAGCGGGGCGGCCCTGGGGCTGGGGCTGGCGCAGCACTGGAGGCCCCAGGGCTGGAGTTTGCCCAGGGCCCCGCGGGCTCTGTGCATGGCCCTGACCTCCCTTGCCCTGTACCACCTCAACCGGCTTCCCCTGCCCCCTGCCCTGCCGGTGCTCTTCTACGGCCTCTTCTTCGCCAAGCACGCCGCGGTGCCGCCCGTCGTCATGGTCCTCGTGCCCGGCCTGGTGCACTGCCTCACCAGGAAGGGGGACAAAGACAAGTGAGAGACCGGCGGCAGCAGCGTGGA